TCAGGGATGTCTATATAGTGAGGTTCCGGAGCTAGGAAAGGAAGACTTCTGCGTCATGTTGGACTATACCCTAAACCCGCTAAACCTGAACATTAGTGTTCATAGAGTGAACTACATCAAGTCAAGTGCGTGGTACATAGATGACTCCATGACTCTATGACTCTATGATTCTGTCTCACTGTGACTCTATGACTCTATATGACTCTATGACTCTTTGAACTATGACTTGTGCTTGACATGTACTCGACTTTATTTCTCGATGACCCTATGAACTATGACTTGTACGACTCTTGACTGTATGTGACACTCCGACTCTGTGACTCCGTGCTTTTGACTCGGTGACTCCATGACCCTATACACTGGATTCTATGACGTAGCGCAACACTCTTCGCTGATGATGCTTTCGGGCCAATTGTCTTCTAGTTTTATGGGGGCGAAACTGTGCTGTTTGCTGATGGTCAATCTTAAGGCAGCCACGACCTGAAGCCCCCACCCAAACCCCCACCCAACCCTAAAACCCTGGCCCTGAAGACCTAAAATCTCTTGCAGAATTGTTTCGCTTATTGGGGCGTCAGGAATGGGACTCTGTACTACTACTGTACTACTATTGTACTATTGTACTGCTACTGTATGCCTTGCTTATTGGGGGGGGGCTGCTAGGGTGAACCGCCGAATCGGGGATTCGACCCTAGCTCAAAAGAGGCCTCTCCAGTACTAAAGTTTGTATAAAAAATTCAATTTTGGGTCCAATCTGGACCGACCCCCCTTTGGGAAGGGTTTAGGGCTTAGGGTTTAGGGTTTGTTAGGGTTTAGGAGTTTAGGGTTCGTTAGGGTTTAGGGTTTGTTAGGGTTTAGGGTTCAGGGTTTAGGGTTCAGGCGCTGGCTTTATGCTTTGCTTATTGGGGGAATGTGCTCACTGGCTTTATGCTTTGCTTATTGGTATTATTTCTGTACTATTACTGTATTACTACTGTACTCCTGTACTACTGTTGTACTACCACTGTACTACTAGTGTACTACTGTACTACTATTGTACTACCACTGTACTGTTACTGTACTACTATTGTACTACTGTACTACTATCGTACTACTACTGTACTACTATTGTACTACCACTGTACTACTGTTGTATTACTATTGTACTACTGCACTACTAGTGTACTACTACTGTACCACTATTGTACTACGGTACTATAATCGTACTATTGTACTACTCTACTATTATTGTACTACTACTGTACTACTATTGTACTACCTCTGTACTACTGTTGTATTACTATTGTACTACTGCACTATTATTGTACTACCACTGTTTTATTTCTACTGTACTACTATTGTACTACTGTACTATTATTGTACGGCACAAAGCTTCAGACGTGGTCGATTGTGGGTGGGAGTGTGTGAGTGTAGGTTACGGAGGCAAAAGTGTTCAAAATGAAGGGTTTTTAGTCTTGGTAGTAGTCTTGGAGTGATCGGGGCTTGGTTTCCAGCATTTGGTGATCCCCAGACCCCCCCGACCCCCGACCGCGCATTCGCGCAGAACCGCAGACCCTGCACCCAAGCCAACCCCCAAACCCCGACACCTCCCAATTCCCTGCCACTCAGTGTCCGGGGTTACCGGTTCCAAATTAAAGAGACCAAAACTTTTTGGTCGGGGGGGGGGGGGGGGGGGTACCCCACTATTAAACCGACCGCCACATTACGGGGATTTGACGTGTTCAACGCAGTCAGCAGCAAGCCTCGCCCGCTCAGGCTAGTCCGACACCACGCAACACCAAAAGGCTACGTGCGAGCTAGGGTGCTAAAACAACGCACTGCACACTGCTGAAGAACGATGCAAACACTCGCACTCCCTCGTTTTTCGGCTTGCCGATAAAGTGATTGCTCAAGCTCTGGTGTGCTCCGGTTAGATCTTTGATCCCGCCGGAGTCCCCAGCACATGCTGGTGCCGCAGAGCAGTCGCAAAAGCCCAAGATCGAAACTGGCAAGCTGAAACCTCGGAAGACGCTCGAAAAGCCCAAGAAAGAAAGTGAGGTGAGGCACGCAAGCGGGAGTGATCAAACTTGCGCTTTTTGGAGCTCTGTTCGTCGGGCCCAGCGTGTGCTGGGCCGGCGGCTGCCAAAGCAGGTACGTGTCCGAGGGAAAACCGAAACTTGAAAGTTGACATGCCAAAACTCTTCAAGCGACAGTGCTATTCGATTCTCCGGCAAAAACCTCGTAGGCAAGCTGGAGGTACCATCCCAACGAGAAAGAAGGTCGGCGTCATCGTTCTTTTCGCCCGCAATGTGACTACATTCCGGGACGATGCCGGTGATAGAGCTGGGAAAGCTTCCGAACAAAGAGGTTTAGCGGGACTTTGGACGTGCAAAGCCTGTTACATACAGATTCAGCCCCACTATTGTCACTGAAAGGAGGTAATGTAAGAGCCAAGCCGGATCGAGGATGAAGCATTGTGCCAATGTCTCGTAGCTGGAGATGTCAAGCTTCGCATCTGGTTGCACCGGTATCTCAAGCTGATTGAAATCATTGACTGTGTAGCGGTGGGAGAACCAAAGCAGGCGTCCTGAGGGGAGTTGCAGCCAGCCGCTGACACCGGAATCGCTATGCTTGCCAAATGCGTCTGCCGCTGAAGTCACCTGACAAGTGGGAGGCGGCCGAAGTGGTCTGGGCCTCCAGTCGGTTGAGCTTAGGTGGGCAAAGAATTCCAGAGTTTCTCTGCTTCACTGTGACAGACTACGCTTGGAAGAAGTGGGATCTGATACACGTAGCCACACCCGCTTGGTACTGATAGGTACCATGTGCAGATCAGCCTTGTTCTGCAGTGTTTTGTGTCTTGCAGAAAGAAGCGTGGAAGCTGCGCTGATGCTCGTACCGGGTGGGCTATTTGTGAAGCGGAGCTGGTCGTCGAGGAAGGCATGAAGACCCGGCCACACTGTGGGGTTAATGCTCACATTGGTACCAAGTGGGCGGTGGATGTCATCATAAAGCGTGCGCAGCCATGGGCGCGAAGCTGGTAGCCCATGCAGTATCCAGTGAAGTAACCCTAGCAGCTTGTCGAAGTGCTTGCGAGAGACCGAGCGGTGACGCAGGCACTCCTGGATCTGAGCCAGAGGCTGTAAGCGTTTGGCCTCAGGAAGCGAGCAGCAGCCTGCACCGAAGTTTAGCTCCCAGCCAATCCAGGTGATCATTGGGCCCATCTGAAGCTTCTTCCAACTGAGTGGTACGTTAAAGCAGGTGCAGAAAGCCAGAACCAAAGACGCACTCAGCGGGAGTACGCGAACGTTTTGCCAGAGCAGTATGTCGTCGACGTACAACATTAGCACATGGGCAACCCATATAAGCAGACGAAGACACCTCGCGAAGAACCCGCCTAAGCGGGCGAACCAGTGCGAAGAGAACGTCGCGCCGAAGGGGCATACCCTGTAGAAGAAAAGCCGGTCCTGTTGGCGGGCGGAATCCCAGTAAGCCGCGATCGCGTTCCCTGGCAAGCGAGGTTTTGTGGGCCCCCTTCACATCCAAGCTGAAACCAGAAACGGGTTTCTCATCCTCGCTTGGTGGGAAAGCGGCTTGGATGTCGTGCAAGCTGGGAAGACTGAATTGCTCCGGAACACTGCAAGTTTGTGTTGCAGATGCTGTTGTCAATCACTAAGCGGGGGGCACGCCCCGGTGCCTTCACTATGTTGACCTTCCCTACAGCGACTCTCTCTTGCCCCCAACGTTGGTAGGCTGCTTGTAAGTTGGGAACTTCCTGTATGAAGCCGGCCGCGAGTTCTTCTTCAATGAGCTCTTGAAGAAAAGCTGAATCATCTTGGGCACCTTGAATTACCTTCACAGATCAAAAGCTCATGACTGGTATCAGCTTCATGCTCATGACGCGGGCGCAAACTGTGACTTCGTGGTATGTCATTGTCAAATCCCGTTGGAACTCCCGGGCGAAGTGCAGAGAAGAGGCAGTGTGCATAATCTTTCCACAGCGGAAAGGCAGTAAAGCTGGCCTGGGATGACAGAGAAGTCCCAATCCTTCGAAGATGAAGCCGAGTCAGAGCAGCTGCGAAGAGTGGCCTGCAACCATGCTGTCTCTTCTGCATCAAAGATCAAACAGCGGGCTGTTGCTGGACTCCGCAACATGTTTCTGCAAGCGAGCTGGAATGTTCTTTTCCAGAAGCCATCTTTGCCAAGTTTTGCGCAGATCATGGAGTTTGTCCTCCATGTACCTGGGGCCATAGGACCAGTCAGGAAGCGAACAGATGCCGCCTCCTTCCTGTGCGGCTGTAGGTGGTGAAGATCTGTGCTTTTTCGGCATTGACTGAAGGGCAAATGAAAGCGAGCATGGCTCGACCCGGTAAGCGGGAGTGGCCGATGAAAACAGTTTCTGCACCTCAGTGGCGAAGCGTGATGCAAGCGCAGTGGGACCCCCCGGCCCAGCCACCGACGGATGGCCGGAGCTATGAGTACAGCGGCCTGCCAAACAGCGGGAGTTCTGTAAAGCTGCATGCAAACATCCAGGAATCCAGGAGATTGCGATTTCCTGGCCCACAGAGCAAGCTGGTATGTTTACCAGAGATGCCTGAGTTTCAGAAAGCATGTCCTGCACAGAGGGTTCAAGCCCAGACATAGCGTTGGTCGGCTGCTCCAGTGAAACGTGAGCACCTGCGGAGAAAGCTGCGCGAAGTATACATACACACCTGTAAAGCAGTTTTTGGCTGCTAACCACTCGAGCTTGCTGGGCACTGGTGTTAGACGGGATGCCATTGAGCATTTCTGGCGTACATATATATAGCTGCCCCCATGACGAAGCTTCAGGCGATATTATTCTCTGTTGTGGACGGTAACATGTACAATCATTATGATTGCGAACAAATTTCCCATCAGGAATAAAAGATATCGAATGCCAATCATTCGAATATATCTTATCCAGTATACATTATCAAATATTCGAATCAAGCAGAGGCTAACGCAGGTCTTCATTTTCCACACTGGGGATGCCGCGATCCCTGGAGTCACCCCCTTCTTGAAAGGAGAGCGGCCCAGGTCGGACGCGACCTGTACCTGCAAAGCCTCTGCACCTCTGTGAACTCAAGCCGAGATGGCCCATCAGCTATGTTCGATGAAGTGGGTACGCGGCCGTACCACATGTTCACACGTGCTTGAGATTCAAGATCAAGTATGCCTCGCACCCAATCATCAGCGACACTCGAGGTATCTGCGAAGCAACGGATGCAAGAGTAGCGCGCTCCCTCGTTATCAAGATAGCACACAAGTTGTGCTCCCTGGACAAGACCCTTCCACAGATCATATGCAATCAAGATTGGAGCAATCTCAAGCTCGAAGATTGGGTTCTTCGAAAAGGATAGAAGTTGCTTCATGAGATCATCTGGGACCGACTCGCCGAAATAACCAGCACAGCTGCCATTCGGGGCAAAGAGAACACCTCCGATGCCACCCCACGATCTATCAGCTTCACAAGCTCCGTCCGTGAAAAGAAACCAAGTTGCCCGAAGGCACGGCTGAATCCTCAAAGGTTCAGCTGACTTGGTTCGCTCGATCAAGATATGCAATGCAGACCTGTGCAGAGCATTCAAGGGAACGGCCGAATTCGTGTGTTTGCAAGCCCTCGATAAAGACCTGACGGCTTGGTTGCTCACTCTCCCGAAGCTGTAACCTTCGAAGAAAACCATGTGCCCCTTCAGCCTCTCGAAAGGCCTGGGCTCCAACTTGCCCTGTTCAAGAACTTCGTTGAGTGCAGTGCAAAGCTCGTCGCGCCGCTTGTCGGTGTGGCCGACAAGAATCACACGATCCTCAGTATTTGCAAGGTCCACCTGCAAACCAAGAGTTGCGAAGGAAGTTGCATGGTCAATCGCTTTCTTACCTGACCTGTCGAAGCGGACCCCTAGCAGATCAAACAAGCACTCGATGACCCACGCAGTGTTGTCCTTCAAAATGTTCCTGCAGACATTTGTAAAATCGTCAAAATACGCAGTCCACACTATTTTTGCCAGCACCACCCCTATCTTCCAGATGGCAAAGGATACACGCAGGAACGCACTCACTGAGGCTACCGATCCAAAAGGCAGTGCGTTAAGACCAAGGAGAAGTGGCTCTTCCTCCTCTGGTTTATTGACTGCCAGTCTCACCAAAGAGCGATCGACTGGGCGCACACCGTATTGTTTGTATGCGGACTTGAGATCATAATTTCTCCCAACCCAGCCTTTTAAGCCTGCAGCAGGGGACCTCTCAAGTGCACACGACAGGATCGCAGCAAGCTTATCGATCGTGTGTAGCTCGAACCTTTCGCAAAGCCCAACCGTCAAGTTAAGGCACGAGATGGTACAGTCATCAATCAAGCGAACCTTTCCGTTTTGAACAATACCGAAGCGCATGACAATGCTACAAAGAGAGACCTCGGTCGAAACCCACACCCAACCTAAGTCAATCTCCTTCTGTGTTTCTTGCCACACTGATGCCTCAAGCTCTGGGTCCTCACGGCGCGCCAGCTTAGACACCACGGTCTTGTTCAATCCAGGGGCAAGCAATTTGAGTGTGTCCACTGACATCTTTGGTGCCCTGACCTTAGGCCCGGAGTTGCCGGTGGCCGGCATCCAGCCGGATATGCGAAAGCCAGACACAACATCCCTGAAAAAGTGCTCATCGCTGCATCCGGCCGCTTGCATCATTTCCTTAAACAGGAGAAGACGTTTGCCTTTCAACACCTGTGCAAGGTAGCCAAGCATGTCGGAATGAAGCTTATCCTCCTCAGGTTGAAGCTCCTTAGCTCTCGCACTCCACTTCTTGACGAAGTCGATTCGGGCACGAGCCAAGTCACCAGGGTTTCCAACAAAGTTCGAATGAATCGCAGCATCTATTTCGGGTTCAAGATGAAACTCGAAACTCCTGGGGTGCCCCGTGATCAAAGCCCTTCGAATGAACTCGGAAGGCTCACAAGGAATGCCAATCGTCACAAGCTCAACCTGAGTGCCGTTTGCTGCGACCTGATCAGTCCTCGGATCTGGGACCTCAAGAAAGATAGGGTGCTCGCAAAGTTCGAGTGAGTGCAAGACATCCCCCCATCCCAAAATAAACCGACGAACAACGCGAGAACCCTTAGGCTGCTTGGCCTGAAAGTCCAGCAAGAGTTGCGGCTTACTCGGAGGGCAAAAGCACGACAGAAAGTGTGAAAATTCTGCGACCAACGGCCCGAAGGAGGCCCCACGAGGCTGCAGACCCAAAGCGACACGAGTGCTTTTGCTATGGAAAGGCACAGATTGCTGCGGCGATGGACCTGCCAAGGAGACCTGGATGTGATTTGCCAAAGCTGAAATCAGCCTCAGACAAAAGACAGACGGATACTCAGATTCGTCAGCAGTTGTGATTTTAACTTTGCGCCCAAACAAACGTGGCTGCCATGGCTTATGGGCCTGCGAGTTGTCGCAACGCGCCTCAAGCGAACCGAAGACGTCCTTAGACGACCACAGGCGGATCAAGCGAGGGCGTGCACCCCCATGACAACACAAGTGGAATCGGGTGAAGAACCCTGGGCATACAGAAGTGATGGACTGAAAGAACGAAGTAGCCCAATACAGGGACGAGTCAGGATTCTCGACAACAGTCAGAACATCTTGCCCGACGGATGCCATAACCAATCTAGCTGTCTCGAAGTAGAGCTGATTGGCATCCCCGACCCGTTTGCGATCCTGAGAAGAAAGCCCAGGGAGCATGTCCGGATGCGAAGAGCTCCGGAGCTCAACAGGCAGCTGATAGCCCCGCTCCTCCCACTTCTTTATATGTTTGCCTCGAGAGACACTAGTGGTGCCAGAGGGCAGAGACAAGAAGACCATGGCGAGTTTGCTCTTCTCTGCAGAAATTATTTCAAGGAGATAATCAATGTTGGCAGGATCACAAAGGTCAAGGCACAAGACGTGCTTGCTAGGCCACCGAAACTGATTGTTATCGACTGCCAAAGTTCTGAAGCCAAGAGAGTCAGCCGTTCGTGAAAGAACTGCCTGACCTGCACACAGCTCCAAGATCAAGAAGTCCTCAGTGGTACAGCGGTCATGTGCAGACGACGCGGGTTCAACGCGAATGTCCCTCAAAGGGCCACTGCAAGGGCCTGCGAAATGTCTGAAAACAAATCCCAGCTCAGACAAGGAAGACCTGTCATCACGACTGAGCCTCTCAGCAAAAGACGGCATGTGTGCCATCAAAACTACCCTGCGACCGAGCCAAGGCAGAACTGCATGGTGCACTGATGGGTCTAGGCGAAGCGGCCCGGCATTAACATCAAGCAACTTTCCAAACAAAGACTTATCCCCGTGCTTGAGCTCATGTTGCCCTGCCTCATCCCGAATCCAGAGCTGGCCTTGCTCAAAGAAAGTGAGAAGGATGACAAGGTTCCTCGATCCTTTCTCGTTGGCTTTATCAAGATGAATCTCCGAGCGAACATCGGAAAGAATCTGCAAAGCCCCGAACACATGAGAGGGGTCGACGAATCGAACCGCAGAAGCGAAGAATCGGCAGGTGGCCGGTGCCGACATACATGCATTGAAGATGCTGGCTTTACTACCTCGAACATAGAACCCAAAGCTTATGCGCGTTCCTGCAACTGAGCTGTGCTGAACACTTCGAAGAGATCGGTCCTTGGGGCAAGCATCGAACAGGCGGATGCAATTGCTGGCAGTGAAGGCGTTTGCATGCAGCATGGTGCGAGCCATCTGTTCGTGGGTATCCGCAGATACTTGATCCGCGACCTCAGAAGGTGGGGAGCTCTCAGCACGCACAACCGGCAAACCCAAAGGACCTACACCCGAAAGAGGTTGGGGTTCCCGTGGGTCGGCATCCACCGGGACAGACTTAGGGTCAACCATATTATCAGAACTGAAACCGAAAGTAGGCACGGCCACTCCAGTGCCACGGCCTACCTGATTGTCAGCTCGCGATGCCATACAAGCATCCGGGCTCTCGACATCGACATTTGTCTTCAAGAATTGGCTGAAGCTGCGCTTCATAGCCAACCTCGAACGAAGGAATTCTTTGTCGGCACAATTTCCGACCTGAACATGCATGCTCGAAGGGCCAGCCGCCCCCGAGCCAGAAGTCCGCTCGACGGACCCGGTCAATGCATCAGCATCCTTGCCAACCCCAACAACGGGTATTCCATTGCAAGGGGCGGAGGCTTGCTCAAGGGGAAAACTCTCTGAATCTTGCCCCCCTAGTCACTCGGTTTTCAAGGTCCTGCAATTTACAACCGAATGACATGGCTTATGGCATGCCGCACACACGTGGAGACCCTTGTCACACTTCTGGAAGCCTGACTTCGGATCCTTCTCAGTCTTATTCGAGCAGCCATCGGGAAGATTGAAACCCCAGCACGCGTTGCCAAACTTGGTCCTGGTATCATACGGTGCTAAGGCTGCCGGCTTGTTCTTCGGACCTCCTCGCGACTTCGCCTTAGCCTTAGCCTTCTCAGTCGCGATGCGTGGCACCTTAGGCGGTACGTGTGGCTTGTCATCCTCCGCTACCTTTGTCGGCGCAACCTTCACAACCTGTGACTTCTGCATGGGAAGCAAGAACTGAGTGATGCGCTGATCGAAGGCTAAAACGTGACATCACGGCACCAAGAGGCGGCACACCTGAAGGCCCTGGCTTGAAGGATTGAAGGCCCTCCTGTGACATGAGCAGGAACATCTCCTTATCTGCTCTGACACACTGAGTCAACGTAACTGGGGCGAAGTTCGGTGGAGGGACCTGTGACAGGCAGTCCAAAAGCTTTTGAATCCACTTCTGATGAACATTGTAAGAAAGCATCTTGCACTGATCATAAGCCAGACCCCTTCGCATCCAGGCCCACTGACATCGCAAAGAGTCCGAAGTGTCGCACTCCACGGAAACACCCGGACCTCCAACCTTGACGGTGTTGTTCTCAACTTGGAGTGTGCTTGGTTTCTCCTTGAAACCTGCAACGACCTCTTGCTCGCGCTTCGGGCATTTAGAAGGTGCAAGCCAATAAATCACTGCATTCTCCATCTGATGATTGCAGGCATCAATCAGCTGATACGACGGGTCAAGTTCCCCGTCCATGTCTATGCCTCCCAGCCTAGCCTGCTGGGACTCCTTGCGTGCCCGCTTCTCTGGCAGCGGAAGCTTTCTCATCGGTGCACCGTCTGATGAATCATGCAACGCCATGTCCCTATAAGTCTGAATCACCAAGGTTGAGGCCTCGAAGTGCAGCTGCCGGATACTGGACAGTTCACCTACAGTCGGCTCGCCTGTGGCATAGACAAGTTTCGCAAGCTCTCTAAAGGCATCCTCGGTCGGTGGGCTTTGAGGGGTCCCTAGAGCGAAGGCAAGCGAGCGAAAGGATTTGACACCTTGGGTGGATAGCCCAGCAGTAAGGGAGCCATCACCACGAACCTCTAGGCACCTCTTTTCAAAGGCCGCTTCACTCTCGATGATAGTAGACATCGAAGAGCAGCTATGGTTGCAAGGACGCAAGGATCGCTGCACGCCCTAACTCAAGCCACCACCTCGAACACTCGAGCCCTAACAAGTTCACGACGATCAAGACATGTGACTGCTCCGCACTAACATGTACTGCATGCACAAGCACTCTCAGACATGTAAGAAAAGACATGACAGCAAAGCGAACTCTTCAATCTTTCACCTCACTTCTTCATGTCAGCCAACCTAGCGCACAATCTGCACCGCGAGCAGGCCTGAGAAGGCCTGTCATTGAGCCTTGCGTGCAAGGCCCCAATGCTCCGCCCGCACACAAACACCTTGGAATAATCATCATGGGCCAGGTGCAAAACCTTGGACTTTATATGCTCATAGTAGCACATGCCGTCGGGAGGATCAGGAACGACCCAGCGCACAAAGGACCTGTGGGGTTCGGCACATTCCTGACTCCCTGAATCCGAACCGCTGCTGGAACCTGTGGTCACTGCATCCGACGGCGGTTCCTCAGTAATGTCGGCGCCTGCCGGCCGCGGAGACTCCTTACGCAGAGTAGGGACCTCAAGAGCCGAACCGTCGTCGTCGCCCTCGTCTTTGACTTCTATCAAGATAGGAGTGCTCCCTTTAACAAATCTCCCACTTCTAGTGCAGTCAGGCTTGAAGCGACCACTCCGAATCGCTGGCTACACCTTGTTCAGCAACAAGAGTGTGGGAGCAGCGGCATCTCTTCCGTAAGTAAGTGGCATCTTAAAATCACCGGTGTGATATCCCAACAAGAGCAACTCATTCGGACTTGCTCCGAACTTGGTCGCAAAGCTAATGCACGTGCACTTGCAAGAATGGCTCGACACACGCCTGCCAGGAATCGGGTCCGCGCTACCGAAAAGCAACAGCCTAGCCCAAGACCCAGCCCCGTCAGATTCAAGACTCCGAACAGTAGGGAATCCTTGATGATCCGGGGCCGGCATCACAGGGAAAAGCGGCGGCTCACCAATCCCCAGCAACCTTCTTGTCTCCATAAATTGTTCTATCCACAAGTCTTCTGTAACACCCACACCAGGCGCTACCATGGGCAACAGCTGCCCTCGTATGAGCTTGGCGCCCATTGTCTTGTGGACTCCCACGCCGGCCTCTATGAAAGCCGCTTCACCATTCTCGCCACGATCTACAGTGATGGACTCTGCGTGGGACAAATCCTCCCAGCGAGCTCTGCCATAAGTAGCGAAAAGGAGGGCGCCGGCCATTAGCCTGTTCCAAAGCTCCGCGTCAGTAGCGAGAATGTGGTGAAGCTTGGTCAGCTCGGCCACCGTAAAGGGAGAGGCCTGAACCCGAGCCTTGAAATCTCGCTGCTTCGCGCTGCCATGGCAGCGCTTGCTCCCACCCAGCTCAGCAAGTTCCGGAATCCCAACAACAAATCTCGTGAACAACAAATCTCGTGAACGTGATGGCTTCAAGAACTGCCTTCCGAGCAGAAGCAGGCCTGCCTGCCTCCCGCATGCCACACAAGTACTGGTAAAAGATCTCCTCCGATCCAGGAAAATCCAACCCTCGGTCACTCAAGAAGTTGTTATAACCCAGCAGAGACCTGTACCGCATGCGCAAAGTATAGCGGGGGCCTTGCCACCAAGCAAATCTTCGATCATAAAATATCGAGGCAAATGCCCCAGGTGCAGAAGTTGCCGAACCACAGCCAGCTTGGCAGGCCAGGACTCAATGAGCCCCTGCCAGAGGTAAAGAGTCTCCGATCGCTCCTTGTCCCTCTTGGCCTTCCAGCTTACAGCTTCCCGGTCCTTGACTGCATTCAAATAAGTAAAACTTCCGCCAGATTTGTCGGCCGAACCAGAAGTCTTGGCAGCCTTCGAGCGCGAAGAATCACTTTCCAAAAGCACGGCCTCTGGTCTCTTATACACAGCACCATGCATTCCATGATACAAATCCTTTGGCGATCCAAAAATGTCCGCCCAGATCCCTTTCTCCCAGCACTGCTCCAGACCGGCAGTGGGTAAAGACTGGTGTGCAAAGGCCACTGCAGCTGGGACATTGAATACACGATCGTCAGAAGAACACCCCGGCACACTCAAGCCCCGCGGAGGCAGAGCCTTCGGAAGCTCCTCTGCCGTCACAGAACCAGGAAGGAGATCACTACCCTTGTCAGATAGATTCGCCTTTGTGTACCATTGCACTTCCTCCAAATCACTTGGGTCAAAACTCGCACTCAAGACAGGCGACCTGTCTTGCAGAAAATCTCGACTGTAATTCTCACCGGAGTCTCCACAAGCCAGATTATCAAGATGAGCTTCCCACTCACCAAAGGGGCTCTCACCAACTGGCCTGGATTCTCCCCCTTCATCACTTGACAGTTGGTCGCTCATCAGTTATGGCTGAGCGCAAAAGGTAGCAGCACGAATGGACCAACATGTGCGAATGAAGTGCGTGAGATCATCATGGCAGAGAAAAGCCCAGACCAAGCGCACAGCATCAAGCTCGGCACGTCTGAACAAGCCAGACAGAACGCGGCCGGCCATGGCTGGACCCACCTCTACATAAAAACTACAAGCAATCTGTTATTGCTTTCCCACCCACCCTCCGCTTCGAGGCGAGCGAGGGATATAAAGGATCACAACTGTCCAATAGCAAACTATTGCAACAGGTGATGTTGAAAAATTATTGGCAGTGCTTCAAAAACAAAACCGTGATGGGAAAAACATGTCACTAATTTTCCCAAACGAAAATTTCCACAAAAAGAATAAAGTGATCATCCCTCCGGGAGGATGTACGTAATCTCTGCAAGGGGGGAAGCATGTACATACCGCTCCAGACCAGAGAAAGCGAGTCGAAGCAGAGAATCGTATATTTCGTCTTGAAGCAAGTCCATTGCTTCTGTTTCTAAGGGATCAAAAGAGAGGCTGACCACTGTTCGTAGCCAAATCCAAGTGCAAAAGCGGGACATGCGAATCACAATGGTGCTGATCAAAGCTGTGGACCCTAAAACCGCACTGTTTCAACGCTCTCGACAACAAGCCTTTGCCCACAAAAACTTCAAAAACTGATGGCGGGCGCTCGCCTAATTGAGCCGTTTGCACCGGCAAAGGCACCTCAGGAGGCAACAAGAAGTTTAGCTCCAGAGCCTTTGCAATGTCAGTCTACTCAAGAAGGTCAAGCTGCTGCACAACCCAGGTAACTAGAACAACTCTACGCCCCAGCTCAGCCACGGCTCAGTTTCATTAAGCGTCGAAGATTAAAGCTTCATGGCCAATCTCAAGCACAGAGCCTGACAGCTCCTTGGAATTGAGAACTCGCACATCCTCGCAAGGCCTCCATTCCTGAATTCACTCAATCGAAAAACTGCATTCGGCCACTGCGCGTTGCGGCCGTCACGATGCAAAGGAGTGAGGCTATCTGCAAAGATCCCACACGTGGAGAAAACATGACCTGGAAGACGCTCCTGCACAAAGCGGGTCATGACACGACTTGCAAAAGGAAACTCTGTGCACTCCTTGCGTAACCCACGGAAGCCACCTTGGGCATAACAGCCGGTTACGAAGGACTGTTGTACGTCCCTTGACCCCTCTGAACCGCCCGCTGAGGAAGCAAATCAAACAGGGTCAAAAGGTCTTATTTTCCAACGAAACTTCCGTTAGCGCGCGTTTGGGAAACCCTAACTGCGCTGCAGAGGAACCCTGTGCAAAGCACTCTCTCTTTTTCTCCTAGCGGACATGGGGGGTCAGTTCGGGCCCGATCTTCGGGCACTGAAGAAACGATGCCACTGGCATCTTGACGGAAAAATTCGACCACTGGTCGGTGGTAAGGCGAACGACTGGTTCACCCCCCCCTACAAGGGACTAACCCGTACAACGGGACAATAAGGTGAAACATTCTCTGACCTACTGGGTCACTGCAGCTACCAGTTGCTACTCTGTAATCATGACGGCCTACGGCCTATGTACAAGAGCGCACCCTGCGCTGACGCCTCTCTGCTAGAGACAACATAGGAGCGCTGCTCCTGGCAACTCTGCTGCCTATGCGGTGTCCCAGACCCCGCATACTATACAGGGTGTGGTGGGTGGGATAAAAACTTTTGGATCACAGATCCAACTTCAAGCCGAAAGCTGCACGGCAAAGTTTGTCTAGTGTAACTCACACACACAAGTGAAAACACTGTTTTCCTTTTTCGACAAACTTTGTCTACACTTTCGGCGGAAAATAAAACCCATTCACGCACGCATGATGGATGCTTATTTTCCAACGAAACTTCCGTTAGCGCGCGTTTGGGAAACCCTAACTGCGCTGCAGAGGAACCCTGTGCAAAGCACTCTCTCTTTTCCTCCTAGCGGACATGGGGGGTCAGTTCGGGCCCGATCTTCGGGCACTGAAGAAACGATGCCACTGGCATCTTAACGGAAAAATTCGACCGCTGGTCGGTGGTAAGGCGAACGACTGGTTCACCCCCCTTGAAGGCACTCGAAGCCTTACTCACCCCCCATTCAGTCCGCGCCGAGTGACAAAGCCAACGGCACTGCGTTGGGCGGCAGGTATTGGCGCGCTGCGCCAAGCCTCTGAGTCTCTTCCCACCAGTCTCTGCTGGGGCCATCAGCGATGTTGCTGTCTGTCGGGACTCGGAAGAAAGCAGCCCTGCATTGCAGGGACTCTTCAAAATCCACCGCTTGCGAAACTATCGCTGCGCCTTCGACTTTCCGTGTGAAGGCCTTGTGCAGGGAGGTACGCGCTGCGTCGTTGTCTATCCAGACGAACAGGTCGCTGCCTGCTATGTGCTTCGCCCACAGCTGAAGGCTAAGCAAATAGGGCAGCAGCTCGCACTCATACACCAACTGCTGTTTCTGTGCCCTGGCAACCCACTGGGCTGCCACCTGGCTGCTAATCTGCAAGCCCCAGGTGAAGTCGATGCCTTCTCCAATGAGCACTGCTCCGAGGCCACACTTGGGCACCAGTCGCGGGGTCTCCCACTCGCAGGCCCCGTCGATATACAGGTGCACCTTCCTGCGCGCATGGATGGACACTGTCCTGGGCGGTCCGTGCACGACTCGTTGCAATAGGAATGCCATGGCTTGGCACTGCTGCTCGGTGAGGGGGACTTGCTCTGGTCCATCCCCAAGGACGTCGCCGACGCAGATCACTGCCATGCGGGTGTTGCGGCCCCAGGCCTGCTGCTCCGCGAAGATGAGCCGGCCGCGCAGGCTCTGCGCTTCCAAGGGTGACATGCTCCCGCGCGTGAGAGCCTCGCTGAGGACCATACCCAGCTCTGCTGCCCGGGTCGGCTTGTTGCTGACGGAGATCTCTCCGAGGTGCTGCTTGGACAAGTCGACTCGCACGCCCAGCACGTCGAAGACTTCGCTGAAGTCGGCGTTCTTCTTGGGCTCTGTGGCCACTTGCCAGCCTAGCTTGTTAAAGAGGTTGGTCACTGCCAAGGTGACGAGCTTCGCGTGCGCGCTGCGCGTCAGAACCGTGAAATCATCGAAGAAGCTCGTCATCACCAGAGCAAGCTTCTCGCGGCCGATGGCTTTCAGCGCTTCGCTGAAGCGAAGGAAAGCGTGCACGGCGGCCACTGCGCCGAAAGGCATGCTGTGCAGGTGGGCGATTTTAACCTTCCCACTCTGTGGGTCCACCATTACGATGCACGCAAATTTCTTGTGTGCAGCCTGCACTGCAAGCTGCTTGTAGGCACTCTTAAGATCCCAGGTCCTACCTACGATGCGGTGAGCCTGCTCTGCAGGCACACCCTGGCGCAGCCACTCCAGGCACACGGCCAGGAGCTCGTCGATGCTGTCGACTTGAACCTTCTCTGTGGTGCCGCAGCAGTTGTTGATAAAGCTGCTTTTGAAGTTATCTATAGGGCGCACTTTGCCCTTTTGGACAACGCCAAAACGAGACGATACTATCGTCTCGTGCAATTTGGCTGGCGAGAAGTCTTCCAAAGACAGCCAGCCCTGCTGGCTTTCCTCTAGTGTACTCTCCCAGACCTTGTCCGAGACCCCATCCTGCGAAGGGCGAAGCGCGCTGCGAACGCCGCGCATACCTATACTATGGGCGTTTTGCAGAATCGATTTCTCATCTAGAGAAGGGGGCAGAATCTGCACCGGCCACAGCCCACTGGGCTGTATCCAGCCAAGGAGGGGAAAACCTTCACGCACCTGCTTGGCAACCGACTTGTCTGGGAAGTCGATGTCACTCAGAAGCTTTTCTAAAGCCACTGTTTGCTTAGGCTTGGTGACGCTGTTCACTTGAGCGTCAATCGAGGAGCGCACCTCTGCCTCGAGGGCTTGGCACTCTGTGCAAGTCTTCGAAATCTGCATCGATGCCAGTGTGCGGCGCTTGGCCAGCAGGACAGTGTCCTGATGCACTTCGGCTGAAATGGCGCGCTTGAGAGATAAAGGCACTGCCTCAATGTCCCTGGCCGGGTGGTCTATGAGATGCGCTCTGCGCACCCAATGCAGTGGCTGCAGCGGGATGGCGATGATTGCTTTTTCAGTGGCTTCGATCCACTGGATGAGCCTAGAGCCTTTTGGGAAGCAAGACCACGACTGTGGTAGCTTCTGCGGGGTCTTCCAGCCTCGAAAGCACCGCGCTGCGGGTCCTTGAAGAGTGACTTTGTCACTGAAGTCTGGCTCGTAACGCAGGCGTCGCAGACGCTTGCGGCTGAGTGGTGCCGCTTGAAGTTCGGCTGCGCATTTGTCTGCTGCCAGGGATACCCATACTGAACTCAGCTGAGTGGTGTAAGCGCTTTCTAGCGAAGTGGACCACACTGTGGACCCATCCACTGAGGCTCTGCCCCAAGGCAGGTGCTTGTGGCCTCCGTCACAGTCCCTGCTTAAACCGGAGAACCAATCTAGGTTCGAAAGGATGGCAGTACGCTTGCGGCGCATGCTGCCAAACATGCAAGCGTCGAACTCCACTCTGTGGGCTGATCGCAAGGCCTCTCTGAGGCAGGGCATCCTCCAGAGGAGGCTACGAGCTGGGTTTTCTATGGACCAGCAAACGCCTCGGCCTGGGGATCTCTCTAGCTCTGCTAAAGGTGACTTTTTGACTTTGAAAACGCGGGCGAGAGTTGCGGTCTCCACCTTGCGCGCAAGTGGCACAAGAACAAGTCCTTTTGGACCCGGTCACTATATGTTACACGTGTGTTACATGTAACAAGTGACTGTGTACAGCTACGCACACATTCAGCCATCGGCACGAGTGCCAGCATGGCGCCCCGACACGAGTGTCAGCGAGCCGTCAGTGAAACACACGAGTACGATGCAATGCAAAAGCAACAATCAAGGATTTGAGGACAAGTACACAATGTAAGCACCAGCACTACTTAAGCTACGATCCTTCGCACTCAGTTTCTTAGCCTTCACTTTGTCTTCAGTTGCAAGCTGCAGCCCATCATTCAAGTAAAGAATGCTTCTGTAGTGACCGCTGGTCGGCAAATCGCCAATGTGATAAGTCACTGCACATACATGAAAGGGCTGCCACACAACAGCTCCAGCACGATACACCGGCAACTCACATGTAGAATCCACCTGCACCGGAGTATGGCATTTGGTAATCGCCGCTGCATTGACTTGGAATCGCTGCAACACAATGCACACATGAGTCTCAAACTCACTGATGCAATAAAGACATGTTTTGCCCTCCCAGAGTTGCGAAGATTTCGTATGCCAAGCGGTGACACACTCTTGGAGAGTGTATCTCTCAGCATCGCCAGCACCTGCAATTGGCATCAAGATGACATTGGAGCCCGAATCCTCAACCTCGAAGCGGTCGCCTAGTTGTGTACCAGCCAGCCAGCGGCTCACCCAAGGAGCATCAGACCCCTGGCGCAGCAGATGAAGAAGGAATTCGGTCGCATCATGCTGTTGATTCGGCCTGCTCCACCCCGTAAACAGCGACCTCCAAGAGAGCATGTTGAAGAGGCCATAATCACGAGAGAAGCTTAAGCCTTGTAGTGCAGCAAGCGCTTTCATGAAAGGATTGGCACCTGCGGCAGCTGCAGTTAGAGGTGAAGGCTGCAGCCATCGACCACAAGCAAGCACCACAGAATTAGCATAACAATGATTGCTAGAATTCTGAAGCCTCAGTGATTGCCAAGCCAGACCGATAGACGATCGGCCGCGGGCGGTCGCTTCAGCCGATGGGGCCGAATTCTCACCGCCCCCAACACCCAGGCCTGGAGGTCCACCCATGTGTTGAAGATCTGCCACAGAGGCTCCGCTTCCGAGCGGAGCCCAATGTCCACATGAAAGGTCACCGCGTAGCCCTTCATCTCCGGAGCCAATTCCCTCGACTGAAATCTCGGCATGTTTTCCGGACGTACAAGCAAAGTCATGGCTTGATCCAGCTGCTCGATAAATACTGTTTGAGGAATCGGCTTCCTGGACTGATCTAGGTACAGAGCCTCCTGAGTGGGAGACCATTTGCGATAGACCCATCGACCCTCGGAGTCGATCCACTCGAGAGCCTTCATGCGTTCCTGCTGCTCGGAGTCGTCCAGTAGCTTTTTGGCTCTGGCCTTGATTTCCAGAAGCATGGAGATCATCATACTGCAACGAAGAGGTTTGTCCAGCTTGCTTGGTTCCTGTTCTTGCATGGTTTTCCAGGCTTTCCACACCTTGTACATGATGGGTAACAGGTTTTCCGGACCCGGCTCGTTCTTCATGGTAAGTAGAAAGCTTGTGTCCAGCTGAACCCTGCTCGCCTGATCCACTAGCTGCAATGTCATGGCCGCCATAAGCTGAACCGCCTCCTTCAGTTCCATCTTGCTTGCATCCTTCGAGGATTTGGCCTTGCCCTTGCCCTTGCCTTTGCCCTTGCGATCTTGCTTGTCCGAACTGGAGCCTGGATTGTCGTTTGTGCGACGGCGCTTGTTCAGTTCCTTCGACTTGGTCTCCGATGGCTTGTCCCCTTTGCTGTCGTCGTGACCCATTTGCCAATCGTGAGCCGCCTCCTCCAGAGAGGGCAGAAGATGCCCCCATAGCTGCTTCTCTTGGAGCACTGGATCCTGCCGGAGCTTTGCTGGATTTGCAATGTCCAACCAACATGCACGATATGAGCATCAATTGCAGAAGAACAAGACAGTTGCCTGCATGTTGGCGACGATCCACAATGTGGGTGCCGCAAGCTTGACACGGCGAGGCTATGAAGGACTTCCACAGAGCAGTCTGTTGGCTGATAGCAGTTTCGTGAAGGAGAAAGTGCTCAGGGTGTTTAAGGCGAAGGTGTTTCCTAACTCCATTCCCCGAGACGACCCATTGATAGCACAAGGCACACCGTTGCTTGAGGTCGACACACAGATCAGCATTGGTCAAGAGCGATTCCCAGCCATTTTCACGTATGGCTTGTATAATGTGTGGCCTTTGCACGTGGGGCGTCACCATAGCCTCAGCCTGCGACTTTGCATATGCTTCCGGCTCACCACGTTCAAGGGCAGGGCAGCCCTGCCTGGTAACATGCCTTGTAAGCGCACTCCATTTGGAGAATTTGTCACCACAGTGCCTGCATATGGGAAAGCCGTTGTAGCCATGCTCAGTGTGCTGAACCTGGGCAATTTTATCCCGGACCTTCTTGTGAGCCTTGCCCTCATGTGTCTTGAGATCGTGCAGGGTAGTGAAGACCTGATGACAGATCGCACAAGAGAAGCCGTTCTCGGGTTTATAGGGTGCAGGTGGTCCCGAGGACGGGGCCATGGTAGGAGCAGAGGGTGCAGAAGCAACGACTGCACCAGCAGCAGCACGCTCACTGGACAGCGGAGGCAATGGTACAGGCTTAGGATGAGCACCGGGTGCCGAATCCTCAGGGACGGGGTTGGGGACAGAGGTTGAAGATGCAGGAGTCGGCTGAGACCGAGGCTTGGCAATGTAGGGTGGCGGCAGGGAGTCCCGCACAAACTGTGCCCATTGCAAAATGCCCTCGGCACCAAAGCAAGGGATCTCAAGCTCAGTTCGTGCCAATCGTTGGCAAAAAGCGTCGCACTTTGTCTTAACCAGCTCTACACAATCAGGAATGCAATGCTTAAGCATGAAAAGCTGGTCCGAATCCCCATCCACGTGCCTGGCAGAGCCAATGATCGCTCGCATATGCCGCATAGTTTGGATGTGAAGGAGTTTGGCCGTCTCAGTGGTCAGGCCAACAGCTTCAACAGCATATAACTGCGACGTCTGCACCATAATGCGCCACAATCGGAGGCGATGCCCCACACTGAGCACACGTCTGGCATGCAAAATTCGGCGGAGCCGATCACGATGGCCTGCGGCTACCCCTATCCTATGGTTAGCAGTCGCCAACTCAAAATTCCGATAAGAGAGAACAACTCCAAGATAGGTAAGTTGACTGGCCACGGGGACTCTATCTTGTTTGGCACCTCCAAAATGGAACTGCTTGCGACCTTCGGAGTCCTTGCGGACCCAGCGTTTCACCCACTTACGTGCTTGCTGTCCTCTGGCACCGATGATAAAGGTACTTTTATCGGGGTTGGCCTGCATTCCAAGCTCACGCAGTATGCGAAAGATGTTGAGAACCTCAAGACGGATGCTATGCAATTCAGCCTCTGTGCGGAAAACCCATTTAAAATGCATATCATCCGCAAAGAAAGTGCCACGCCGGGCTGTCCATCCTGGGCCGTTGGCCTCATCAAGGCGATTTTGAATGTGCTTCGTGAACAACCCCCACAAGAAAGGAGACAACACGCATCCCTGCCTAACCCCACATTCAAGCCGAACAAAGACCGGATGCTCGTTGCCCTTGCTACGGATCCTATACTTGCCGGCCTGATGCCATTCAAGTAGAACCTGCTGTTCTTCAAGAGAAAGGTCTGTGTCTTGCAGCAAGAGCTGCAAGGTCCTGCGAGGCAAGAGGTCGAAAGCTTTCGACAGATCGAGCCCAAGTTGGGCCCCACCAATACACGGGTTGTAACATGCACCTTCAAATCGATCGAAAACCGTCAAGCTTTGGGACCTGAGCAAGTCACGGACTTCCTTGCAATGTGCCGCTACCCGCGAGATAGCCTCGTGAGTGGATCTTCCCATCACGTAGGCATACTGAGGGAGGGTGCGCATAGCCTCCAAGAAGCTGTGCTGCAAGCGTTGCTTAAAGACTGTCAGGACTGCCTTAGCCGCCGCCGATTGGAGGGCAATTGGGCGCAAATCCTGCGGCCGTCGCGTAACTTTTTGAGGCTTCAAGAGAAAATGTAGATCCGACCTTGCCCAAACAGCTGGAATGTGAAGCGGACCAGACTGCCAGATCTTGCTCAGCACGGCATTCAGATAGCAAGACAGAGGAGAGGCAAGGGCCTTCCAGACAGCAGCCGGAGCCAAATCTTTGGCTACAGCCTTTCGTTGTTTGAGGCCTCGGAGAGCATCATGGAGCTCCTGCTGGGTAACAAGGAGTGGCTCACGAAGACAAACAGCCTGATAAGGCAGACTGGTGCTGGAGTAGATACCTTGCCAGTATTCTGCGAGGGCTTTATCTTCCAAGGCTGGAGTGAGGATCTGACCTTTGGGATCACGGATCTGAACTCGTGCATGTGCTCGCTTGGGTGCCAGCCTCTGCACAACTTGAAAGAATTTCAGCGGGTTGCCAGCCTTGCTTGCTTGCTCCGCCTCCAAAAGCTGTGCTTGCCAATGTTCGCGTCGCCTACGACGGCTGTTGCGTTTCAGTTCTTTGACTCGTCGGCTTAGCTGTACATGCAACCTCCATGCTCTAACGTAGACGACAGATGAGGCCAAAAGGCGGCTTGCTGCTTGAGGCTGCGACGCAGTTGCCAAGTGAGAGACAAATCCTGACCAACCTCCGGGTTTTGCCACTGCAGAGCAATGGTTCTATTTCGCTGCAAAGGAAAAGCCTTGACACAGATGTTGCGAAGCTCGGCCTCCGCTTGGGAGGGTAGCAGATCAGCTGTAAAAAGGTGTTGCTTGGCAGCAAAGGCCTGGCGAAGTAGCTCATGCTCAGGGCCGGGGCGACAGGCCCGACACAAAGCATCCTGATCAATGGCAAGCTTAGCTGGAGTACGATCCCGGAAGCGACACCAGGCCTTCAAGTCAATCATACCCAAAAGAGGCAGATGTCTGGCTCCGGAGCGCCAGGATGCAAAATGGATCTGTGGCTGAACGGTGACAGGACAACCCGTGGCCTGCATGGTTCTCGCAAGGACAAAGTCCACCCTAGAGGCAGGACCATGTGGGTCGACATAAGTACTTTGATTGTCCCACGAATTGAGTGCTCGCAAGCCATGTGTCCGAAGGAGATTTTGAAAAATGTGCTGATCTTGGGCAGCCGCACGTTCTTTGCCCTTGTGGGTGCGTGTCACGCCAACATAAGGATGCTCCTGAAGCAAATCGGTGTTGAAATCACCCGCAAGGTACATGAAGTGTCGGCTGGGAAGGGCCTGCACAAGAGCGTCTAGGGCATTCCAAATCGCCGCCCGTTTTTCATAGACCTGTTTGGATTCAGAAACTTTTGCAGGTATGTAAACACAAATCAGGTTAAGAAGGCGGCCTTGAGGCTCGTTACAAAGGGGTATCTGCACATGGAGAATTCTTCCAATGCGTACTTCTCGATACCTGATGAGGGCTGGGTCAACCAGCCGGCGGTTGATCAAGATCGCTACCCCCTGCCCCGGCAGGGGTTTCTGGCCTGACGTGAGCCAGCACCAGCCAGGTACCACATAATCGCTGGAGCCCCTCCAGGTCTCCTGGAGGAAGATCACGTCAATTGTGGCTACGGTGCTCGGAAGCTGAAGCCAGCGACAGAACTCGTCGTATACTTCGGCGGTCAAACTGCCGATGTTAAGACTAAAGACACACAGTTGGTGTGGGCTTTTTCTAAAGGTCGCTCCTGCATCATCTTCGGCTGGCGGCCACGCCGGAAGTTTGCAAGTGAACGATGACCTGGCAGCAGGGCGCGGTCTGACCGATTTGGGATGCGATGGTGATGAGCCTGCTGCTTGGAGTTGCTTTTGTGTTAGCCAACGTCCTCGGTACCAAGTGGCACCGTCTCGTGTGGCCCGGTTTTGGGCTCTACGAAAAGCCCTTTTCCGGGGTCCTGACAGTGGCACCTGCACGTCGCTAGGCTTCACAGGTTTGATGGGACCTGCTGAGAGCTGATGGCCTGCTCCCGCCGAGGTTGCGACACCCTCGGCAACCCTCGCTCCTCGAGTTCCGAATGCAAGAGTCATGAAGATAAGTACCCCCAGCCAGCAAGGGCTGAGGCGCAGTCTGGAACTCGTGCCGGACTTGGGACCGGCAGGGCTCTGTACACGTTGTGACTGGCAATGGGATGGGGCAGTGCAAGGGCTGGCTTGGGACCGGCTTGCATAAACAGTGCGCCTGAAAGATAAAGCAGCCACCAGTGCCTGGCGGAGGCACAGACACAGTCGAGTGGCACATGAGTCAATGCTGGAGGCTGGCCTGCTTCGTGACATGAAACTCAGTACCGAATGGAAAACAAATGGTGAGTGCTGAGCCAAAGCATGAGTAGTCGACCGAAGCATAGCAGCACAACACGAAATGGTTGTACAGATGAAGTCAAGGTCGATTGGTCGTAACCGCCACGAGCGGTCATCACGCAACTGCAGGCACGCATCGCAGATTTTCATGCCATCCTGTGTTTGCTGAGGTGGCTCGCTACTTAAAGGCACGACAGGCTGCAGAGTCCACAGGCCTCGCATCGTGATCAATTGTGAACCGTCACTCAAAGGGGGCCACGCCCAAGCAGCCTGTTTTGCATCCGCTGAGATATCCATAACACTGTGGGCATCGCAGCTGTGCTCGCACCAGCATTTTTGCCACGGCCTTGGTCTTGCAGGCGCGAGTGGCTGGTGCCGCGGCAATTGGTGCATCCCAGGCTGGCTGAGAGGTAGAGGCAGTCGGAGCACCCGGAGCATCCTCGGTGACTGGCTTTGCCGGATCAAGGTGGGGAAGCTCAACAATCTCATCGCTATCCACATCGTCGTGGACAACAGAGGGTGGAACCTGCCTGCCCACTGCCTTGCCAAAGGCCTCTGCAAAGGCGGCTGCAAAGTCATACCGCTCGACAACCACCTCCTCCATTGAGTCGGGTGAGTCAATGGGAGGTGCCAAGGCTTGCAAACTGTCACTGTCACGCCCCAAGTTGGAGCTGCAGCTAGCTGCCCCCGTGCTGGTGGTGCTCGATGAGGAATTGTCCGAAGTAGAAGTGTCCGAAGAGCAGCAGGTAGCAGCAGCCGCCGGCCGTCTACGAGGCCTCGACGAAGGCTTGGAGGAGGGCTTGGCGGATGCCTTCTTGGCCGCCACCTTGGAGGCAGCTGCTGCCCTGGTCTTGATCGTGAGCTGCACCTTAGGCTTCGCCCGAGGGCGAGAATGGCCAGCCGGAGTACCCCGAGAAGGTCGTGGACGCGAAGCCGCCGAGGCGGAGGCTTGTCTGGCCTTACCCACCATGTGCAACACAAACGGCCGACACAGGAGAAAAGCTGGAGCAAAAGAAGGAGCATCATAGCAGCATTGCTGAGGAATTCAATCTGCATGCCGTGCCGAGAGCGTGCCGAAACAGGAAACTTGAGAGCCAGTGCATTTCTCCAAGTTCGGACCGTGCCACACCTCAAAATTCTGCGACGATAAGAGCCGCTGCATAATCGGTGTGTGAGGCGACGACCTCGCATCCTGGAGCAGCCAAGCAAGAGAGAGATCACACTCCAACAATATGAAGTCAGGAAAAGAGGCAGCCTAGTCAGTCCAGGCTGTGCAAATCGATCACACCTGATGTCAGACAGATACCCACAACATGCTAGTGAAAGCACTGCTAGAAGCACAGGGTGCATCAGCACCGACGCCAGGAATCGCGCTTTCCCTGATCTGGTAAGCTTGGTTCGGTGAAGCCTCCTAAGGGCAGCAGCTGAGCACAGAAAGGCCAGTATAGCTAGTTGCCCAAGATCAGCCGTAGGATGGCTTGGAGCCCGACTGTTGCACAAGTGCTGGCACAGGTTCCGTGTGAAGACGGTATCTTGTTGCTGCCTGCCGTACCAAGGCAAGCACAAGCCTAAGGTATGTAGCAATGGCAGAGCCGTAACCATGGGTATGCACACCAGCTTTCGCAGGGTCGGAGCGAGCAGCTGAAGTGGCCGAAACAGAGGCATCGCTGCCCTGACGGGCACAGACAAAAGTACGCAGTCCGAGCTGTATGGCGGGGAACCTGGGCACGGGCCAGGCGTCGGGCCTGTCTGCGAGCATCGCCTGCAGCAGCAGGAAGCAAGACACGAGCAGAAGCCAGAGCGAAGCTGGCACACCTTGTGTGGGCCCCGTCGGCTGAGGCAACTGTTGGCACGCTGGAAGGAGTTCCGTGTAGAACCGTAGACCCCTGCAATGCAGGACGAACAAGCCCAACAGTCCCAGCTCCCAGCGAAAGCATCCAACGGCCTGAGCCGGATGCGATATGTCGGTGTGCTCTTGGCATGCAAAGCTGGACCTGAAGGAGCCAAGCAGACAAACCCAGAAGAAAAGCAGGTTGGCGGCTGCGAAAAATGCAAGCTACCAGCTGACAATCCAAAGGTAAGCCCCAGCATTTTTATCAGCACCACTGCTGCACCAGCTCTGGTATCTCTTCGACAGAAGAGTGGATCTGCTAGCGCTGTCCAAAATTGTGCAACATGGCCCTCAAAAGCTCCAAAGTCAGAGTCACTCGGCCGCGAGGCGTTCATTCGGTGCGGTGCGGATGATGACTTCGATCCTGAATTGGAGATTATGCGGCATGGTGATGGAGAACATAGGCAGAGCATCAATCGCTGGTGGCGGTCGGAAGAGAGCTGCTGGGGTATGTGGTGCCACACCTGCATGTGCTCCAAAGGCTGGATGCTCATCTCCGGGGCTTGCCGGGTGTGGTACTGGGGGACCACTAGGTCGATGAGCTCTGTCGCCGTCTCCTGCGGTGGCTCCCGCTGCGAGTGCTCGCATCGTCTCTCGCATAGGCGAGCGTGACCGATCCGAGCGGGAACCCATGTTCGAGGCAGCACCGAGAAAACATCAAGCTGTGCACAAACTTGAGAGGCAGATAAGAATGTCGGAATGTGAGTCCGAAGCACAGGTGCCCAGGCAACATGTTTGGCCAACTGCAAGAGCTTAGGCAACAGCCTGGTGATACGGCAGCCTGGTCGGCACAATCTCCTGCAGGTCAAATTGTTTAAGTGACCGTTCCAGTGTTTTCGCAGAGGTCCTGAGCTAGCTTGCTCGCAGATGCCTTCGTAGGTCGAGTCGGCCGGAAGTTCCGGCCATCTGTCAGGACACCACAGGTGCAGAGGCGGCAGAGGTGTATTGGCAAGCAGGGTGCCAGACAGCGGTTTGGGCATTTCGCTGGCTCCGTCATGCTCTGAATGACCTGATGCTGGCATGTGCGACTGCTGATGCAGAGCCTGGGTGTTCCAAGGTGCCCGCGGCTTGTGTTTGGTGACAGCTGCAAACGAGAGCCCCCTAGGTCCACAAATTCTGCAAAGACCCTCAAAGTGCAAAACATCAAGAAGGCATGAAGGAAAGTGGCCTGTGGAATCTTCAAGCTCATCTGTGCTATCCTCCGGCCATGGTCGGCCCACTCCTGCGGGTGTTGCCCCGTGATCCAACATAAGACAAGACTGCACGCACTTCAGAGGGCCGCCTGTGCAAGGAAGGCTGTCAGTACCAGCCATGCTTTTGCTGGGCGGGTCGGTGCCTGCTGCAGCCAAGGCTTCTTTATTGTTCTCTACTGGCCACCTTAAGCAAGCAAGGGAACCGTCTGCACAAAAGCTAGTGTCAGCGTCGGTAAGGCTCGGTTGGGTTCCTGAAAACACCCGGTCATGAAAAATGCTCGTGTTTCTAGAACTTGCAAAAGACCGCGTGCCTACTGGAAACTCCCGTGCTGCAAGAAAGTGTTCTGGCATGTGCCTGCAATGGCCACGAAATTGGAGCCACAGCTTGGCCGTGAGTAAGCTGAGCCACAAGCAATGACACATCAGCATCCATTTCTGAAACCATGGCATCTGAGCTACAAACGTCGAAAGGAGGCCCGGTTATAAAAAAAAGGAACCTGTTGCGCCTGGAGCCACGTTCGAAGGAACAGCCGTGCGAAGCCCCTGCAGAGGAAGCTTCCCTCGTGACACTGTTGGCCACGGAACTGCCGCTACCCCACCCCAAAAATGCTACAAACGACTTGAGCCCAGGAGCTTCTGCTAAAGGTGCCGCACGGCGGGGCCCAGTGGACCCATCGTAGGTCTTCGTGTGAGAGCACTGCTCTCAGCAAGTTTCGACCTAGCTGTGTACAGAGGTCGAGCTGCAAGACCTTGATGCCTTTGGCCTTAGTCTTGTGATCCACTGCAACGTTCGAGAAACCTTTCTCGACGGCCGCCTTACTAAGGCGACCGAGGCCGCAGAAAACTTCCACGAAAAGTGGTGGACGGGGAGCCGCTCGCTGAGCAGGCTCAGGGGACGCAGTGCCCAAGGCGTGCAAGAGCGTCGGGGGGCTGGTGTCTGCCGCGAGCTCTGCTCGAGTCGGCGGCTCTGCAGCGGCACTCCCTGGCTTACTCTTTGCAGGAAGTTGCAACGGCTGTGCCGCCGTGAGAGGGTCAGGGCGCTGCCCTGCGCATGGCGCTGTAGCATGCGGGCGCTGCGCTGCTGGGGGAGTGTCGGGCTCACTGGCCGAGACCCGCTGCGGCTCTGCCGCGCCTGGAGCAGAGGGGCCTAGTCAGGCGGCCCCAGCATCTTTGGGGCATTCCGCTGCTCCGTGCTCGGAGCTGCCACAGCTCATGCATTGGTGCAACCCCCTGTCGCACTGCTTGGGGGAGCCGGAGGTCTCAAGGTCGCACCCGCACTGCAGGTTGAAACCGTAACACAGACGCTTGCCCGACTTAGAAACGCTGTTCAAGTGGCGAAGCTCTTTTGGCATGCTCGGCGGCCTAGAGCGGTCTGCGCTCTCGTGCCGCTTGCCCTTGCCCTTTCCGCGGCCTCTCTTGCCGCCTTTCTTGCCTTTGCCGGTCGTGCTACGACTGCGGTCTTCCTCGCCGCGCGTGAAACCGCGGCCCTTACCCTTGCGACCCCGGTCCGCCACTGGCGAGGGGAGGAGGTGCAGCGTCACGATAGGATCGGACCACATGTTCTCTACTAGAGAATCTAGTGGCCTCTTACCATCCTTGTCCGGTTTGCAACCCTTGCGACACTCTCGCGCGAGCAGCGTCCACAGTTCTTTGTCGGCGCGTACTATGTGCCAGCTGTTGCCACGTTCCATCCCCGGCGGCGCTGGCCGGTTCAGGACGGAGAAGAACTGTCGCACGAGTCTCTCGTGGATCGTAAAGTCCAGCACGCCGACTCTGTCGAGCGCGAGGCCCCTGCGCGTCAGGGCCTGCGTGAGCTTCAGCTCATTGCCGATCTCTACGTGCACGCTGTGCTCCTTTTTCTTGACTGTGATCTCCCCAGACTCTAGGGAGAGGAAGTCCTTGTCACGCCTCACTGAGGCGATCTCGGCATCCCGACTGACGCACTGCGACGGTGGGATGTAACGAACGATGCCGTCCTGCAGCATGAGCGCGGCTTTGTCGACAAGGCTGCGCGCGGGGTCGTAGTCACCTTCGATGACGACGCCCCTGAGGCGCGCGACTTGCGCTGCTCGGCGCTCCTCGCGCTCGTGCATGGGCAAGCTCTTGGGGGTGACGCTGTCACCCTCGACTCTCATCTTCAGATCCTGGATACTGAAGGTCAGGCTTTCGAAGGCCAGGCGCCGCGCTGCGGCCTTTGTGCCCAAGGACGGCTCTGCCGCCGCGAAGACCTTCTTAAGAAGTTCTTCAAACTTCGCATCGCTGATGCGGTCTGGTTGGTCAGCGACGCTGTACGCTAACGTTCCGAAAGTGCGGATGTCTGCCGCGAAGAGCTTCGCCGACTCGGCGTCTCCTAGGAGTTGTTGAGCTCTGCTCGAAAATTCTGCGACACTGTCGACGAGGTTCGCCATCGTCCTGCAGGGCAGATGAAAAGGAAAGAGAGACAGAGAAAGCAAACACTGTGCAGACTGCAAGAACCTACTAGGACAGACCGGCTGACGCTCTCGCTCTCTTTTTCACTCTGCATCAAAAGACTTGCTGCTCCAGCAAGTCTTGCAGTGCGGTCGGCCTGGCACGAGGCTGCGAACTTCGCAGCTCATATACTTTTCATTCAAACAGCGACCGCAGAGAAGCCTCTTCGCGTTCTCACTGCGGCTCGCGTGCAGCTTGCCACTGGCAAGATGACACCACAAGAAGAGGCCCATTCTGGGAGGGTGCACTGCACCTCCCGTTGAAGGCGAGGGTTCTCCTCGACCTCGGGCTCGGCGACGAACTCGTCTTCTCGGTCAGTGTCACTGGCACTGTCTTCCGTGTCACTGAGCTCCTGTTGTTGCGAGACCTTTAGGGCTTCCACCCCCACTGGGGGTGCTGAGCCCGAGGAGGTTTTCCTGTGAGAGGCCTTGCTATAAGGTTCTCTCGCCTCAGGTTGAGCTGACTGCTAGGCAGCGCAAACTGTTTCCCGAGGGGCTGGTCGG